ACCACTCACCCCACCACTCACCACTCACCTCACCACTCACCTCACCACTCACCCCACCCTCCCCCACCACTCACCTCACCACTCATCCCCCCACTCACCTCACCACTCATCCCACCACTCACCTCACCACTCATCCCACCACTCACCCCACCACTCACCACCACCTCACTCACCACCACCACCTCACTCACCACCACCTCACCGCTCACCACCACTCACCACACCACTCACCCCACCACTCACCTCACCACTCATCCCACCACTCACCTCACCACTCACCTCACCACTCACCCCACCACTCACCTCACCACTCATCCCACCACTCACCTCACCACTCATCCCACCACTCACCCCACCACTCACCTCACCACTCATCCCACCACTCACCTCACCACTCACCTCACCACTCACCTCACCACTCACCCCACCACTCACCCCACCACTCACCCCACCACTCACCTCACCACTCACCTCACACTCACCTCACCACTCATCCCACCACTCACCCCACCACTCACCTCACCACTCACCCCACCACTCACCTCACCACTCATCCCACCACTCACCTCACCACTCATCCCACCACTCACCTCACCACTCACCACTCACCACTCACCTCACCACTCACCTCACCACTCATCCCACCACTCATCCCACCACTCACCCCACCACTCACCCCACCACTCACCTCACCACTCATCCCACCACTCATCCCACCACTCACCTCACCACTCACCTCACCACTCACCCCACCACTCACCTCACCACTCACCTCACCACTCATCCCACCACTCACCTCACCACTCACCTCACCACTCACCTCACCACTCATCCCACCACTCACCTCACCACTCACTTCACCACTCATCCCACCACTCACCTCACCACTCACCTCACCACTCACCCCACCACTCACCCCACCACTCACCTCACCACTCATCCCCCCACTCACCTCACCACTCATCCCACCACTCACCTCACCACTCATCCCACCACTCACCCCACCACTCACCACCACCTCACTCACCACCACCACCTCACTCACCACCACCTCACCGCTCACCACCACTCACCACACCACTCACCTCACCACTCACCTCACCACTCACCCCACCACTCACCCCACCACTCACCACCACCTCACTCACCACCACCTCACCACTCACCACCACCTCACCACTCACCACCACTCACCACCACCTCACCACTCACCACCACCTCACCACTTTGTGTGTGTGTCTGTGTGTGTGTCTGTGTGTGTGTGTGTGGGGAGCGGTGGTGCAGCGGTTAGCGCTACGCTGCGCTATGAACCTAGCGACCCGGGTTCGATTCCCACTCACGGCCAACACCAGTGACGATTATCTGAACCGGTCATGGGCCTCCCCTAGTTCGACTCAGCCTCAAATGAGTACCTGGTGCGGTGTGTAGTAAACATCGCCACTGGGGAGACAAAGGCGGTCGGGCGTGGTGCTGGCCACCCACCCCCTCGTGTACCGTTCTGGCCTTCATAGATGCTCGCTAACAGCACTTGCCCCTACAGTCTGTTCAGGCTATACGGGGGGATCTTTGTCTTTGTCTGTGTAAAACCGTTGACGACTCTTGACGCCGGAGTTGGAGGCACACGGGTTTATTTCACACAGCACAACAGTGGGCATATAACACTCGAGGGGGTATCGGCCCCCTCACCCGGCTAGCTGGGGATACACGCGCTAGCTACTCCTAGCCTGCCTCTTAGTCCTCCACTAACGGGCTAGGCGAGGCTATCTGGCCCGACACTGGTAAGTCGGGGTCACGGTACCCGGAGTCCCAGACCTGCTCTGACAAGAGCACCGGCTCTGGCTCTCGGAACCACGCCGCTGGCTCGATCCCGTTCGGCCCTGATAAGGACGTCGAACTAGGGGAGTCCAGGGCTTCTAGCTAAGATGTCTTCAGTCTTCTCGTTAGATTTCGATTTAAAGCTTTCGTGACTGCAGGGATTCATCTTCTTGGTTCTTTTGGTAAAGTCACGTAGAAGGGAAGACGGCTGCTTGCGTTGTGGCCGAAACGTCGTGAGAATTATTTTATTTTATTGTGTTTTATTTTTATTATTTTATTACTTCCCTTCTACGTGACTTTACCGAAAGAACCAAGAAGATCTTCTCGTTAGCTTAACATTTCCCCCCCCGAGCCCTCTGACGCATCCCCTTTTATACTCAACCCCCGCTGAAGGGTGGGGCCCCGGGCTGCCCGGTGCGGACGTCGTTGAGAGCACCCCCCCCCCCCCCCCGTGCACTCACGTAGCACCGCCCACTGTGTTTGTTTCCCATAAGCTGCCATGCATAACGGCTCTCTCTCTCTCTAACACCCCTACATCTGTGTGTCTGTCTGTGTGGGGAGCGGTGGTGCAGCGGTTAGCGCTACGCTGCGCTACGAACCCGGCGACACGGGTTCGATTCCCGCTCACGGCCAACACCGCCAGTGACGATTATCTGAACCGGTCCCGGGCCTCCACTAGGTTGACTCAGCCTGAAATGAGTACCTGGTGCGGTGTGTAGTAAACATTGTCACTGGGGGGAGACAAAGGCGGTCGGGCGTGGTGCTGGCCACCCACCCCCTCGTGTACCGTTCCGGCCTTCATAGGTGCTCGCTAACAGCACTTGCCCCTACATTCTGTTAAGGCTACACGGGGGATCTTTGTCTGTTTGTGTGTCTACGTACATATGTGTGTCTGTGTGTCCGTGTGTGTCTGTGTGTCTGTGTGTGTATCTGTGTGAGTGTCTGTGTGTGTGTCTGTGTGTGTGTCTGTGTGAGTGTCTGTGTGTGTGTCTGTGTGTGTGTCTGTGTGTGTCTGTGTGTCCGTGTGTGTCTGTGTGTGTGTCTGTATGTGTGTCTGTGTGTGTCTGTGTGTGTGTCTGTGTGTCCGTGTGTGTCTGTGTGTGTGTCTGTGTGTACGTGTGTGTCTGTCTGTGTGTCTACGTACACATGTGTGTCTGTGTGTGTGTGTGTGTGTCTGTGTGTGTGTCTCACTGTGTGTGTCTGTGTGTGTCTGTGTGTGCACCTGCAGGGGTCTCCAGGTGTGACTGGTGAAGCTGGCCCACCTGGGCCTACAGGGAAGAGGGTGTGTACAGCACAACAGCGCAGTACACACAGTACGCACAACAACAACAACAACCAACAATCGCCACTAAGTGGCGGTGACGTCACCACGACGCTTGTGCCAGGCCAAGTGCACCTTGAGGCCACGTGAAGTGTCGAACGCCCACTGGCAGGAGGTCACGGGGCAGACCCAGCAGGTGCCACGGGTCGACTAACTGAGATGACCGAGATGACTGGCTGATGCACCACCTGTGCCCCCTACTGTGCCAACTTGCTGGGCTTTAGCCACCCGGCGCTCCGCTCGTTGTTGTGAGCGTCGCTCCTCCGCCCTCCGTTGTTGTCCTCCAACTCACCCAGTAGTGTCCTTCACGAGCCTCCTCCACAGAGGCCGATCTTGACACTGCTGGTACCAGTCATCGGCAAGTCCACTCAGCTCCACATCCTCTTGTACCACATCACTCCATCCAAAAGCTGTTTAGGCATGTGGTGGCTGGGCATGCGGGCTACATGACCCAGCCAACGCAGCCTTGCCTTTCGGAGGAGCTGACCGATGGGACTTTGTCCAGATATTTCAAGGATTTGTGAGCTTCTCACACCATCTAGCCTGCTTAAACCCAGCATGGATCGTAGGCAGGCCAGCCTAAATGTTTCTAACCGGCGAAGATGTCCACGTCTCGCAAGCGTAGAGAAGGGAGGGAATGACCGTGGCCGAGAAGACCTGAAGCTTCGTGCAGTGCGACAGACCAGGTAGCTTCCACACATCGTTACGCAACCGATGAAAAGATATTGCCGCTCGACTGATTCGGAGTGAGACCTCTGCTGTTAAACCGGAGCCGGTCATGAGCACACTGCCCAGGTATGGGAAACTCTCCACTCTCTCCACTACTGCCCCATCACCAATTGGGAGTTGTGGGGGTGGAGTGTCTGATGGTACAAAATACCCAGGCAGGTGCTTAGTTTTGGTGGGGCTGATGGTAAGGCCCCACCTCTTAGTGGCACGCTCCAGGTTCAGCAGCAGTGCCTCCAACTCCTCCTCTGAGTGAGCAGCAATCACCAGGTCATCGGCAAACATAACGGATTGACCAATAGGGAGCCATCCCTTGACCACACCCGGGCATCAATCAGCCTCCCGTTGTATCTGTACCAGATGTCCATCGAAGGCTTGATGAATTACGTGGTTGGAATAGATGTTAAGTAATGTGGGAGACAGAGGACATCCTTGTAGCACCCAAGGTGAACAGGGAATTGTTCCGACTCCCGGCTATGCAGCTGCCCACCATCATGAAGGTCCTTAATGATCGTGAGCAGAGAGTCAGTGACTCCGATAGCACGAAGAACAACCCAGAGCCCAGGCCTACTGATGGTATCACAGTGCCTTGACCAAGTCAATAAAGCAGAGATGTAGATCTTGTTGGAATTCCCTACACCTCTGCTGTAGCAGACGGACAGAAAATATGGCATCTGTGCAGGACCGCCCTTTCCTGAAACCACATTGGGGCTCCGCAAGCCCCTCCTCAGCGTGCCTAGCAAGGCGATGTTGAATAATCCATGCCAGGACCTTTCCCGGCACACTGAGGAGTGAGATGCCCCTGTAGTTGTTACAGTCTGTGCGGCCCCCCTTCTCAAAGAGGGGGACCACCAGGGCATCCTTCCAGTCCTGCAGAACCCATCCAGTGGTCCAGACTGTTGTTATGATGTCATGTAGGGCAGTCTGTGCACAAACGCCACCCTCCCTCAGCATTTCGCTTGGGAGATCATCTAACAGCACTTGCCCCTGCGGTCTGTTGAGGCTACACGGTGGATCTTTGTCTTCTGCAGGGGGCGACTGGTCAGACGGGGCCCGAGGGGAGGCAAGGGGAGAAGGGAGGCAAGGTGCGTGTCTCTGTCTCTCTGTGTGTGTCTCTGTGTCTCTGTGTGTGTCTCTGTGTGTGTCTCTGTCTCTCTGTGTGTGTCTCTGTGTCTCTGTGTGTGTCTCTGTGTGTGTGTCTCTGTGTCTGTGTGTGTGTGTCTCTGTGTGTGTGTCTCTGTGTGTGTCTCTGTGTGTGTCTCTGTGTCTGTGTGTGTGTCTGTGTGTGTGTCTCTGTGTCTCTGTGTCTCTGTGTGTGTCACCGTGTCACCGTGTGTGTCTGTGTGTGTGTCTCTGTGTCTCTGTGTCTCTGTGTGTGTGTCTCTGTGTCTGTGTCTCTGTCTCTCTGTGTGTGTCTCTGTGTGTGTCTCTGTGTCTGTGTGTGTGTCTCTGTGTCTCTGTGTCTCTGTGTGTGTGTCTCTGTGTCTGTGTCTCTGTCTCTCTGTGTGTGTCTCTGTGTGTGTCTCTGTGTCTGTGTGTGTGTCTCTGTGTCTCTGTGTCTCTGTGTGTGTGTCTCTGTGTCTGTGTCTCTGTCTCTCTGTGTGTGTCTCTGTCTGTGTCTCTGTGTCTGTGTGTGTGTCTCTGTGTCTCTGTGTCTCTGTGTGTGTGTCTCTGTGTCTGTGTCTCTGTCTCTCTGTGTGTGTCTCTGTGTGTGTCTCTGTGTCTGTGTGTGTGTCTCTGTGTCTCTGTGTCTCTGTGTGTGTGTCTCTGTGTCTGTGTCTCTGTCTCTCTGTGTGTGTCTCTGTGTGTGTCTCTGTGTCTGTGTGTGTCTCTGTGTCTCTGTGTCTCTGTGTGTGTGTCTCTGTGTCTGTGTCTCTGTCTCTCTGTGTGTGTCTCTGTGTGTGTCTCTGTGTCTGTGTGTGTGTCTCTGTGTCTCTGTGTCTCTGTGTGTGTGTCTCTGTGTCTGTGTCTCTGTCTCTCTGTGTGTGTCTCTGTGTGTGTCTCTGTGTCTGTGTGTGTGTCTCTGTGTCTCTGTGTCTCTGTGTGTGTGTCTCTGTCTCTGTGTCTCTGTGTCTCTGTGTGTGTGTCTCTGTGTGTGTCTCTGTGTGTGTGTCTATGTGTCTGTGTCTCTGTCTCTCTCTGTGTCTCTGTCTGTGTGTCTCTGTGTCTGTGTCTCTGTGTCTCTGTGTGTGTCTCTGTGTGTGTGTCTCTGTGTCTGTGTCTCTGTCTCTGTGTGTGTGTCTCTGTGTGTGTGTCTCTGTGTCTGTGTCTCTGTCTGTGTTTCTCTGTGTCTTTGTGTCTCTGTGTGTGTCTCTGTCTCTGTGTGTGTCTCTGTGTCTGTGTCTCTGTCTCTCTGTGTGTGTCTCTGTGTGTGTGTCTCTGTGTCTGTGTCTCTGTCTGTGTTTCTCTGTGTCTTTGTGTCTCTGTGTGTGTCTCTGTCTCTGTGTGTGTCTCTGTCTCTGTGTCTCTGTCTCTCTGTGTGTGTCTCTGTGTGTGTGTCTCTGTGTCTGTGTCTCTGTCTGTGTTTCTCTGTGTCTTTGTGTCTCTGTGTGTGTCTCTGTCTCTGTGTGTGTCTCTGTCTCTGTGTCTCTGTCTCTCTGTGTGTGTCTCTGTCTCTGTGTCTCTGTCTCTGTCTCTCTGTGTGTGTCTCTGTCTCTGTGTCTCTGTCTCTCTGTGTGTGTCTCTGTCTCTGTGTCTCTGTCTCTGTCTCTCTGTGTGTGTCTCTGTGTCTGTGTCTCTGTCTGTGTTTCTCTGTGTCTTTGTGTCTCTGTGTGTGTCTCTGTCTCTGTGTGTGTCTCTGTCTCTGTGTCTCTGTCTCTGTCTCTCTGTGTGTGTCTCTGTCTCTGTGTCTCTGTCTCTGTCTCTCTGTGTGTGTCTCTGTCTCTGTGTCTCTGTCTCTCCGTGTGTGTCTCTGTCTCTGTGTCTCTGTCTCTGTGTCTCTGTGTGTGTCTCTGTGTGTGTCTCTGTGTCTGTGTCTCTGTGTGTGTCTCTGTGTCTGTGTGTGTCTCTGTATCTGTGTCTCTGTGTGTGTCTCTGTGTCTGTGTGTGTCTCTGTCTCTGTGTCTCTGTGTGTGTCTCTGTCTCTGTGTCTCTGTCTCTGTCTCTCTGTGTGTGTCTCTGTCTCTGTGTCTCTGTCTCTGTCTCTCTGTGTGTGTCTCTGTCTCTGTGTCTCTGTCCTCTGTCTCTCTGTGTGTGTCTCTGTCTCTGTGTCTCTGTCTCTGTCTCTCTGTGTGTGTCTCTGTCTCTGTGTCTCTGTCTCTGTCTCTCTGTGTGTGTCTCTGTCTCTGTGTCTCTGTCTCTCTGTGTGTGTCTCTGTCTCTGTGTCTCTGTCTCTGTCTCTCTGTGTGTGTCTCTGTGTCTGTGTCTCTGTCTGTGTTTCTCTGTGTGTGTCTCTGTGTCTGTGTCTCTGTCTGTGTTTCTCTGTGTCTTTGTGTCTCTGTGTGTGTCTCTGTCTCTGTGTGTGTCTCTGTCTCTGTGTCTCTGTCTCTGTCTCTCTGTGTGTGTCTCTGTCTCTGTGTCTCTGTCTCTGTCTCTCTGTGTGTGTCTCTGTCTCTGTGTCTCTGTCTCTGTCTCTCTGTGTGTGTCCTCTGTCTCTGTGTCTCTGTCTGTGTTTCTCTGTGTCTTTGTGTCTCTGTGTGTGTCTCTGTCTCTGTGTGTGTCTCTGTCTCTGTGTCTCTGTCTCTGTCTCTCTGTGTGTGTCTCTGTCTCTGTGTCTCTGTCCTCTGTCTCTCTGTGTGTGTCTCTGTCTCTGTGTCTCTGTCTCTGTCTCTCTGTGTGTGTCTCTGTGTCTGTGTCTCTGTCTGTGTTTCTCTGTGTCTTTGTGTCTCTGTCTGTGTCTCTCTGTCTCTGTGTCTCTGTGTGTGTCTCTGTGTGTGTCTCTGTGTGTCTCTGTCTCTCTGTCTCTGTGTCTCTGTGTGTGTCCTCTGTCTCTGTGTCTCTGTGTGTGTCTCTGTGTGTGTCTCTGTGTGTCTCTGTGTCTCTCTTTCTCTGTGTCTCTCTCTGTGTCTCTCTGTGTCTTTGTGTCTCTGTCTGTGTCTCTCTGTCTCTGTGTCTCTCTGTGTCTCTCTGTCTCTCTGTGTCTCTCTCTGTCTCTCTGTGTCTCTCTGTGTGTGTCTCTCTCTCTGTCTCTGTGTCTCTGCCTGTCTCTCTGTCTCTCTGTCTGTCTCTGTCTGCCTGTCTGTCTCTGTTTGTCTCTGTCTGTCTCTCTGTCTCTGTTTCTCTGTCTGTCTCTCTCTCTCTGTCTCTGTCTGTCTCTGTCTGTCTGTCTCTCTCTGTCTTGTCTCTGTCTGTCTGTCTCTCTGTCTGTCTCTCTCTCTGTCTCTCTGTCTGTCTCTCTCTGTCTCTCTCTCTGTCTGTCTCTCTCTGTCTCTCTGTCTGTCTCTCTGTCTCTCTCTGTCTCTCTGTCGGTCTCTCTCTGTCTCTCTCTGTGTCTATCTCTGTCTCTCTGTCTCTGTGTCTCTATCTCTCTGTCTCTCTGTGTCTCTCTCTGTCTGCCTGTCTGTCTCTGTCTCTCTCTGTGTCTCTGCCTCTCTGTCTATCTGTGTCTATCTCTGTGTCTCTGTCTGTCTCTCCATCTCTCTCTCTGTGTCTCTTTGTCTCTCTGTGTCTCTCTGTGTCTCTGTCTCTGTCTGTCTGTCTCTGTCTGCCTGTCTGCCTCTGTCTGTCTCTCTGTCTCTTTCTCTGTCTGTCTGTCTCTCTCTGTCTCTCTGTCTGTCTCTCTGTCTCTCTATCTCTGTCTGTCTGTCTGTCTCTGTCTGCCTGTCATTTCATTTTATTTCTCTACCCACGTGGCTTTACCGTAATTGTATTGCCTGTTATTTCTATTTCATGTTCCATCGAACGACGTGGCTTTACCGAAAGAACCAATGATGTCTCCCCGTTCGAATTCTATATGCACCTTAGTCAAGCAGTGGATAGACCCTGGCCGATGATGTTGATGCTGATCTTTCGTAGGGCTGATGTAGCCGATGCAGAGCAGCGACTTGACAATTTCACACTCGCGTGGTCAAGCGCAGATACAACCTGCCTTAGCAGCAGTAGCGGGGTAGTTGGTGAGTGTATCGTCATCGTCGTCGTTGTCGTCGTTATCGTCGTCATCGTCGTCATCATCGTCATCATCGTCGTCATCATCATCATCGTCATCATCGTCATCATCATCATCGTCATCATCATCATCATCGTCATCATCGTCATCGTCATCATCATCGTCATCATCATCGTCATCATCGTCATCATCGTCAATCATCATCATCATCATCATCGTCATCATCATCATCGTCATCATCGTCATCATCATCATCATCGTCCATCATCATCATCGTCATCATCATCATCGTCATCGTCATCATCATCATCGTCATCATCATCGTCGTCATCATCATCATCATCGTCATCATCATCATCGTCATCATCGTCGTCATCATCATCGTCATCGTCGTCATCATCGTCATCGTCATCATCGTCATCATCATCGTCATCGTCATCATCGTCATCATCATCGTCATCATCATCGTCATCATCATCGTCATCATCATCGTCATCATCATCGTCATCATCGTCGTCGTCATCATCATCATCGTCATCATCGTCATCATCATCATCGTCATCATCATCATCATCGTCATCATCGTCATCGTCATCATCATCGTCATCATCATCGTCATCATCGTCATCATCGTCATCATCATCATCGTCATCATCGTCATCATCATCAGTCATCGTCATCATCGTCATCGTCATCATCGTCGTCATCATCGTCATCGTCATCATCATCATCGTCATCATCATCGTCATCATCATCATCATCATCGTCATCATCATCGTCATCATCGTCATCATCGTCATCATCATCATCATCATCGTCATCGTCGTCATCATCATCATCATCGTCATCATCATCATCATCATCGTCATCATCATCATCATCGTCATCATCGTCGTCATCATCGTCATCGTCATCATCGTCATCATCATCATCATCATCGTCATCATCGTCATCATCGTCGTCATCATCGTCGTCATCATCGTCATCATCATCGTCATCATCGTCATCATCGTCATCATCATCATCATCATCGTCATCGTCGTCATCATCATCATCATCGTCATCATCATCATCATCATCGTCATCATCATCATCATCGTCATCATCGTCGTCATCATCGTCATCGTCATCATCGTCATCATCATCATCATCATCGTCATCATCGTCATCATCGTCGTCATCATCGTCGTCATCATCGTCATCATCATCGTCATCATCGTCATCATCGTCATCATCATTATTATCGTCGTCGTCGCTGCGCTGTCTGCTTCATCGTAGTTTGTGGATGGTGTCATGGCGTCGCTGCGCCTTCTACTCACGGTCGGTTCCAGATGACCGCGGCCGCACCGCTGCTCACGTAGAGTCTTTAACGTGCAGACATTTACCTGGTCTGACGCTGCTCTTCCTCACCCCCCCACCCTCCCCCCACCACCCTCCCACCACCATTACCCCACCACCACCCCCACCACCACCCACCCCCCACCACCACCCCCCACCACCCTCCCCCCACCACCCCCCCCACCCCCACCCTCACCACCCCCCCACCCCCACACCACCCCCCCACATCCCCCCACCCCCCCACCCTCCCCCCACCACCCCCCCCACCACCACCCCCCACCACCCCCCCACCATTACCCCCCACCACCACCCTCTGCACCCCCCCACCCCCACACCACCCCCCCACCACCCCCCACATTCCCCCACCCCCCCCACCCACCACCTCCCCCCCCCCACCACCCCCCCACCCTCCCCCCACCCTCCCCCCTCCACTCCCCACCCCCACCCTCACCACCCCCCCACCGCCACACCACCCCCCCACATCCCCCCACCCCCCCACCCTCCCCCCACCACCCCCCCCACCACCACCCCCCACCACCCCCCCACCATTACCCCCCACCACCACCCTCACCACCCCCCCACCCCCACACCACCCCCCCACCACCCCCCACATTCCCCCACCCCCCCCACCCACCACCTCCCCCCCCCACCACCCCCCCACCCTCCCCCCACCCTCCCCCCTCCACTCCCCACCCCACCCCCCCACCACCCCCCACCACCACCCCACCACTCCCCCCACCACCCCACCACTACTCCCCACCCCCCCACAGGGCGAGCCTGGGGCTTCGGGGCCGCCAGGCAAGACAGGCTCCGTTGGGCCTCAGGGCGTCTCCGGCAAGCAAGGGCCGGAGGGCCTCAGGGGGCTCCCGGGGCCGCAGGTAACCACGGCGACCGCGCCAGGCTGGGTGCGCGTCGTCGCTACGGCGCTCGTGCCAGGCACACTACGCCGTACACTACGATACACACTACGCTATACACTACGCTATACACTACGCTACATACTACACTATACACTACGCTATACACTACTATACACTACACTATACACTACTATACACTACACTATACACTACTATACACTACACTATACACTACTATACACTACTATACACTACACTGTACACTACACTATACACTACACTATACACTACTATACACTACACTATACACTACTATACACGACTATACACTACACTATACACTACACTATACACTACTATACACTACACTATACACTACTATACACTACACTATACACTACTATACACTACAATATACACTACTGTACACTACTATACACTACACTATACACTACACTATACACTACACTATACACTACTATACACTACACTATACACTACTATACACGACTATACACTACACTATACACTACACTATACACTACTATACACTACTATACACTACACTATACACTACACTATACACTACACTATACACTGCACTATACACTACACTATACACTACTATACACTACACTATACACTACACTATACACTAGTATACACTACACTATACACTACCACTATACACTACACTATACACTACACTACACTATACACTACACTATACACTACGCTATACACTACACTATACACTACTATACACGACTATACACTACACTATACACTACACTATACACTACAATATACACTACACTATACACTACACTATACACTACACTATATACGGCTATACACTACACTATACACTACTATACACTGCACTATACACTACACTATACACTACACTATACACTACGCTATACACTACACACGGCTATACACTACACTATACACTACTATATACACTACACTATACACGACTATACACTACGCTATACACTACTATACACTACACTATACACTACACTATACACTACTATACACTACACACTTTGTGTCTCTGTGCGAATGTCTCTGTGTCTCTGTGTGTGTGTCTGTGTGTGTCTCTGTATGTCTCTGTGTGTGTCTGTGTGTGTCTCTGTATGTCTCTGTGTGTCTCTGTGTCTCTGTGTGTGTCTCTGTGTGTCTCTCTGTGCATGTGTCTTTGTGTCTCTGTGTTTCTGTGTGTGTCTCTCTCTGGGTCTCTCTATCTGTGTGTCTTTGTATGTCTCTGTGTGACTCTCTGTGCGTGTGTCTCTGTGTCTCTGTGTGTGTCTCTCTCTTTGTCTCTCTGTGCGTGTGTCTGTGTGTGTCTATGTGTGTCTGTGTGTGTCTCTCTGTGTGTGTCTCACTGTGTCTCTGTATGTGTCTCTGTATGTGTGTCTTTCTGTGTGTGTCTCACTGTGTGTGTCTCACTGTTCTCTGTGTGTGTGTCTATGTGTGTGTGTCACTGTGTCTCTGTGTGTGTGTCTCTGTGTGTGTGTCTGTGTGTGTGTGTCACTGTGTCTCTGTGTGTGTGTCTCTGTGTGTGTGTCTGTGTGTGTGTCACTGTGTCTCTGTGTGTGTGTCTCTGTGTGTGTGTCTATGTGTGTGTGTCACTATGTCTCTGTGTGTGTGTCTCTGTGTCTGTGTCTCACTGTGTCTCTGTGTGTGTGTCTGTGTCTCTGTGTCTCACTGTTCTCTGTGTGTGTGTCTTTATGTGTCTGTGTCTCACTGTGTCTCTGTGTGTGTGTCTCTGTGTGTGTGTCTCTGTGTGTGTCTCTGTGTGTGTTTCACTGTGTCTCTGTGTGTGTGTCTCTGTGTGTGTCTCTGTGTGTGTGTCTCTGTGTGTGTCTCTGTGTGTGTCTCACTGTGTGTATCTGTGTGTGTGTGTCTCACTGTGTCTCTGTGTGTGTCTCTTTGTGTGTCTCTCTGTGTGTGTGTCTCTGTGTGTGTGTCTCACTGTGTCTCTGTGTGTGTGTCTCTGTGTCTCTGTGTGTGTGTCTCACTGTTCTCTGTGTGTGTGTCTCACTGTGTGTGTCTGTGTGTATGTGTCTCACTGTGTGTATCTGTGTGTGTGTCTCACTGTTCTCTGTGTGTCTCACTGTGTCTCTGTGTGTGTGTCTCTGTGTCTCTGTGTGTGTGTCTCACTGTTCTCTGTGTGTGTGTCTCACTGTGTGTGTCTGTGTGTATGTGTCTCACTGTGTGTATCTGTGTGTGTGTCTCACTGTTCTCTGTGTGTCTCACTGTGTCTCTGTGTGTGTGTCTCTGTGTCTCTGTGTGTGTGTCTCACTGTTCTCTGTGTGTGTGTCTCACTGTGTGTGTCTGTGTGTATGTGTCTCACTGTGTGTATCTGTGTGTGTGTCTCACTGTTCTCTGTGTGTCTCACTGTGTCTCTGTGTGTGTGTCTCTGTGTCTCTGTGTGTGTGTCTCACTGTTCTCTGTGTGTGTGTCTCACTGTGTGTGTCTGTGTGTATGTGTCTCACTGTGTGTATCTGTGTGTGTGTGTCTCACTGTGTCTCTTTGTGTGTCTCTCTGTGTGTGTGTCTCTGTGTGTGTGTCTTCTCAGGGTGATCAAGGCAAGCAAGGAATACGAGGCTCAGAGGGGCCTCCAGGTCCTGTGGTATGTCCTCACCCTCACCCCGTGTCCTCACCCTCACCCCCTCACCCCGCCTCCTCACCCTCACCCCCTCACCCTCACCTCATCTCCTCACCACCACCCCGCCTCCACACCCCGTCTCCTCACCCTCACCTCCTCACCCTCACCCCGTGTCCTCACCCTCACCCCCTCACCCTCACCCCTCTCCTCACCCCCTCACCCTCACCCCCTCACCCTCACCCCCTCACCCTCACCCCTCTCCTCACCCCCTCACCCCCTCACCCCCTCACCCTCACCCCCTCACCCCCTCACCCCTCACCTCATCTCCTCACCACCACCCCGCCTCCTCACCCCGTCTCCTCACCCCCTCACCCTCACCCCCTCACCCCGTCTCCTCACCACCACCCCGCCTCCACACCCCGTCTCCTCACCCCGCCTCCTCACCCTCACCCCCTCACCCTCACCCCGTCTCCTCACCCCTCACCCTGCCTCCTCACCCTCACCCCCTCACCCTCTCCCCCTCACCCTCACCCCGTCTCCTCACCCCTCACCCTGCCTCCTCACCCTCACCCCCTCACCCTCACCCCCTCACCCTCACCACGTCTCCTCACCCTCACTCCGTCTCCTCACCCTCACCCCCTCACCCTCACCCCCTCACCCTCACCCCCTCACCCTCACCTCATCTCCTCACCACCACCCCGCCTCCTCACCCTCACCCCCTCACCCCTTCACCCTCACCCCGCCTCCTCACCCTCACCCCCTCACCGCCTCACCCTCACCTCACCCCCTCACCCTCACCCCCTCACCCTCACCCCGTCTCCTCACCCCTCACCCTGCCTCCTCACCCCGTCTCCTCACTCCGCCTCCTCACCCTCACCCCCTCACCCTCACCACGTCTCCTCACCCTCGGATTTGCAGTTGTAAATAAAATAATAAAAATAAACATTATAAAATTCTCACGACGTTTAGATTGCAACACAAGCAATCGTCATGGGGTGTGAAAAAAAGTAAATTTTCTTGCTGTGATTTTCACACCTGACGATGATTGCTTGCGTTGCAATCGAAACGTCGTGATAATTTTATTGTTTCATATTTATTATTTTTTCATTTCCCTTCTACGTGACTTTACCGAAAGAACTCAACAAAATGAATCCCTGCAGTCACGAAAGCTTTAAATCGAAATTGAGCTTACCCGTACCCGTACCCTACCCGTACCCGTACCCTACCCGTACCCTACCCGTACCCGTACCCTACCCGTACCGTACCCTACCCGTACCCTACCCGTACCCTACCCGTACCCGGCCGTACCCTACCCGTACCCTACCCGTACCCTACCCGTACCCGTACCCTACCCGTACCCGTACCCTACCTGTACCCTACCCGTACCCTACCCGTACCCTACCCTACCCGTACCCTACCCGTACCCTACCCGTACCCTACCCGTACCCGGCCGTACCCGTACCCTACCCGTACCCTACCCGTACCCTACCCGTACCCTAACCGTACCCGTACCCTACCCGTACCCTACCTGTACCCGTACCCTACCCGTACCCTACCCGTACCCTACCCGTACCCTACCCGTACGCTAACCGTACCCGAACTCTACCCGTACCCTACCTGTACCCGTACTTTACCCGTACCCTACCCGTACCCGTACCCTACCCGTACCCTACCCGTACCCTACCCGTACTCGGCCGTACCCGTACCCTACCCGTACCCTACCCGTACCCTACCCGTACCCTACCCGTACCCGTACCCTACCCGTACCCTACCCGTACCCTACCCGTACCCTACCCGTACCCGTACCCTACCCGTACCGTACCCTACCCGTACCCTACCCGTACCCTACCCGTACCCGGCCGTACCCTACCCGTACCCTACCCGTACCCGTACCCTACCCGTACCCGTACCCTACCCGTACCCTACCCGTACCCTACCTGTACCCTACCCGTACCCTACCCGTACCCTACCCTACCCGTACCCTACCCTACCCGTACCCTACCCGTACCCTACCCTACCCGTACCCTACCCGTACCCTACCCTACCCGTACCCTACCCGTACCCTACCCGTACCCTACCCGTACCCGGCCGTACCCGTACCCTACCCGTACCCTACCCGTACCCTACCCGTACCCTAACCGTACCCGAACCCTACCCGTACCCTACCTGTACCCGTACCCTACCCGTACCCTACCCGTACCCTACCCGTACCCTACCCGTACGCTAACCGTACCCGAACCCTACCCGTACCCTACCTGTACCCGTACCCTACCCGTACCCTACCCGTACCCGTACCCTACCCGTACCCTACCCGTACCCTACCCGTACTCGGCCGTACCCGTACCCTACCCGTACCCTACCCGTACCCTACCCGTACCCTACCCGTACCCTACCCGTACCCTACCCGTACCCGTACCCTACCTGTACCCTACTCGTACCCTACCCGTACCCTACCTGTACCCGTACCCTACCCGTACCCTACCCGTACCCTACCCGTACCCTACCCATACCCGTACCCTACCCGTACCCTACCCGTACCCTACCGGGTAGGGTACGGGTAGGGTAATGGTATCGGGTACCCGATTGCGACCTCTGGGATGAAGCCATGTTGCAGGCGCGGGTGGGTTGATTCTAGGAACTTGAATTGCGAGAAGAGACAAGACGTTGGGAAATGAGTGACAATCACGGTGACTCACCAGTGACTCACGGCCTACCCGTACCCGTACCCGGCCGCACCAGGGTCGCAAACGGGTACCCGTACCCGGCCGGGTAGCCGGGTAGTCGGGTATCGGGTAGGGTACGGGTATCGGGTACCCGGTTGCGACCTCTGACCCACGGCCGCCCCCCGTGTCGCGTATGCAGGGACCGCCAGGCCTTCCTGGACTCAAGGGCGACTCCGGGTCCAAGGGACAGAAGGTGAGAGGGGGAGGAGGTGGGAGAGTGGTGGTGCAGCGGTTGGCGCAGCGCTAGGTCGACTCAGCCTCAAATGAGTAACCTGGTGTAGCGTAGTGAACATCGCCAATGGGGAGACAAAGGCGGCCGGGCGTGGTGCTGGCCACCCACCCCCTCGTGTGCCACAGCGCCGGTAGCCTTCATAGGCGCTGCTGCTGCTACTCGCTAACAGCACTTGCCCCTACATCGTGTTGAGGCTACACGGGGGAGCTTTGTCTTTAGAGGGTGGGGAGCGGTGGTGCTGCTACTCGCTACTAACGGCACTTGCCCCCACAGTCTGTTAGAGGCTACACGGGGGATCTTTGTCTTTGTGTATGCTGAGCGCTGCTGCTGCTACTCTCCTACTAACAGCACTTGCCCCCGCAGTTTGTTAGAGGCTACACGGGGGATCTTTGTCTTTAGAGGGTGGGGAGCGGTGGTGCTGCTACTCGCTACTAACAGCACTTGCCCCCGCAGTCTGTTAGGGCTACACGGGGGATCTTTGTCTTTGTGTGTGGGGAGCGGTGGTGCTGCTACTCGCTACTAACAGCACTTGCCCCAACACTCTGTTGAGGGCTACACGGGGGATCTTTGTCTTTGTGTGTATGCTGACCGGTGGCACGGCTTGCCCCCAGCCAGTCTTGTCGAAGGCTACCCGGGTGACCTTTGTCTTTGTGTGCCCCCCCCCCTATCTCCGCTCCGCGTAGGGACACTCCGGCCTCATCGGCCTCATCGGCCCCCCGGGCGAGCAGGGCGAGAAGGGCGACCGAGGCCTCTCGGGGCCCGCCGGCACGCGGGGGCCCAAGGGAGAACAGGTACGTGGTGGGGGGCTACCTCTGCGGTAGGGGGCTACCTCTGTGGGGGGCTACCTCTGTGGTAGGGGGCTACCTCTGTGGTAGGGGGCTACCTCTGTTGTGGGGGGGCAGGTACAGAGAGGCCTGATTCCACCAGGCCCGTCGGGAAACAACCACGGCACGTGGTGGCCTTGTTGGTCGAGTGTGGATGTGTGTGTGTGTGTCTGTGTGTCACGATCTGTGTGTCTGTGTGTGTCACCATCTGTGTGTGTCTGTGTGTCACGGTCTGTGTGTGTGTGTGTGTGTCACGGTCTGTGTGTGTCTGTGTGTCACGGTCTGTGTGTGTCACGGTCTGTGTGTGTCTGTGTGTCACGGTCTGTGTGTGTCTGTGTGTCACGGTCTGTGTGTGTGTGTGTGTCACGGTCTGTGTGTGTCTGTGTGTCACGGTCTATGCGTCTGTGTGTGTGTGTGTCACCGTCTGTGTGTGTCTGTGTGTCACGGTCTGTGGCAGTCTGTGTGTCACGGTCTGTGTGTGTGTGTGTGTCACGGTCTATGTGTGTGTGTGTAACGGTCTGTGTGTGTCTGTGTGTAACGGTCTGTGTGTGTGTGTGTGCATCACGGTCTGTGTGTCACGATCTGTGTGTGTCTGTGTGACGGTCTATGCGTGCGTGTCTTGTGTGTGTCTGTGTGTCACGGTCTATGCGTCTCTGTGTGTGTGTCACCGTCTGTGTGTGTCTGTGTCATGGTCTATGTCTGTGTGTCAGGGTCTGTGTGTGTCTGTGTGTGACGGTCTATGCGTCTATGTGTGTGTGTGTGTCACCGTCTGTGTGTGTCTGTGTGTGTCTGTGTGTGTGTGTCTGTGTGTGTGTGTGACACGATCTGTGTGTGTGTCAGGGTCTGTGTGTGTCTGTGTGTGACGGCCTACGCGTGCGTGTCTTGTGTGTGTATGTGTGTCTGTGTGTCACGGTCTATACGTCTGTATGTGTGTGTCACCGTCTGTGTGTGTGTGTCACCGTCTGTGTGTGTCTGTGTGTCACGGTCTATGTGTGTCTGTGTGTGACTGTGTGTGTGTGTCTGTGTGTCACGGTTTGTGTGTGTCTGTATGTCACGGTCTATGTGTGTCTGTGTGTGTGTGTGACTGTGTGTCTGTGTGTGTGTGTGTGTCTGTGTGTCACGGTTTGTGTGTGTCTGTGTGTCACGGTCTATGTGTGTGTGTGACTGTGTGTGTGTTCATGTCTGTGTGTGTGTGTCTATGTGTGTCTGTGTGTGTTCATGTCTGTGTGTGTGTGTCTGTGTGTGACTGTCTGTGTGTGTTCATGCCTGTGTGTCTGTGTGTGTGTGTCTGTGTGTGTTCATGTCTGTGTGTCTGTGTGTGTGTGTGTGTGACTGTGTGTGTGTGTCTGTGTGTGTTCATGTCTGTGTGTCTGTGTGTGTGTTCATGTCTGTTTGTGTGTGTCTGTGTGTCACGGTCTATGTGTGTCTGTGTGTGTGACTGTGTGTGTCCGTCACAGGGAATTCCAGGCCCGGCTGGGCCATCTGGCCCTGGAGGATCCGCTGGCAACCCTGTGAGCTCACCACACACAGCACACATCATACACATCATACACATCATACACAGCACACCACACACAGCACACCACACACAGCACACCACACATCACACATCATACACATCACACAGCATACCACACACATACACACAGCACACCACACACAGCACACACAGCACACACATCATACACAGCACACACATCATACACATCATACACATCATACACAGCACACCACACACAGCACACACACACAGTACACCACACACACCACACACATCATACACACACACAGCACACCACACACAGCACGCCACACATCACACACACACAGCACACCACACACATGGCACACCACACACACCACACCACACACATCATACACACCACACACACACCACACCACACACACACCACACCACACACACGGAACACCACACACAGCACACCACACACATCATACACACACATCATACACACAGCACACCACACACAGCACACACATCATGCACACCACACACAGCACACCACACACAGCACACCACACATCACACACATCACACACAGCACACACACACCAGACACACACCACACACACCACACCACACATCATACACACACCACATACATCATACACACCACACACACCACACCACACATCATACACACACCACACACATCATACACACACCACACACATCATACACACACCACACACATCATACACACCACACACAGCACACCACACATCATACACACGCCACACACACCATACACACCACACACCCCATACCACACACACGGCACACCACACACAGCACACCACACACACATCACACACCCCACGCACACCACACACACCACACACACACCACACACATCACACACACCACACACACACACCACACACACCACACACAGCACACATCATACACACATCACACACGGCACACCACACACAGCACACCACACACATCATACACACATCATACACACAACACACACCACACACACCACACACACCACACACACACCACACACCACACACACCACACAACACACACCACACACACATCGCACACATCACACACACCACACACACACCACGCACACCACACACACCCCATACACCACACACACGGCATACCACGTGCTTCATACCAGCGGATTGCTGGGTTTGTAGCGCAGTGCGCTAACCGCTGCACCCCTGCTCACCATATCCCTGCGTGTCTCTCTGTGTCTCCCCGCGTGTCTCCCTGTGTCTCCACGTGTCTCCACGTGTCTCCGTGTGTGTCTCTGTGTGTGTCTCTCTGTGTTTTTGTGTGCATGTGTGTCTCTTTGTGCGTGTGTCTCTGTGTCTCTTTGTGTGTCTCTCTGTGCGTGTGTCTCTCTGTATGTTCTCTGTGCGTGTGTATCTGTGTGTCTTCCTGTGTGTCTCTGTGTGTGTGTGTGTCTCTGTGTGTCTCTGTGTGTCTTCCTGTGTGTCTCTGTGTGTGTCTCTGTGTGTGTCTGTGTGTCTCTGTGTGTCTCTGTGTGTGTCTGTGTGTCTCCCTGTGTGTCTCCCTGTGTGTGTCTGTGTGTCTGTGTGTCTGTGTGTCTCCGCGTGTCTCTGACCAGGGTGCTCCAGGACCAAAGGGAGCTAAAGGTGCATCGGTGAGTGTGCGCACACACACAGACACACACGTGTACACACACACACGTGTACACACACACACACACGTGTACACACACACGTGTACACACACACGCGTGTACACACACACACGTGTACAACAATGTTGAGAGTGGGATGGTGAGCGCAGTGGTGAGCGAGGTGGTGAGCGAGGTGGTGAGCGAGTTGGTGAGCGAGCCGGCGAGCGAGTTGG